CTGCAGCTCCAGCTCTGGTCTTCTGGGTCTGACTGGTTCTGGTGTTGTTGGTGGTTTTGGCTCCTCCAACCGGCATTTGGATGGAGGGATGGTACCTGACCTGTGGGAGAACCAGTTTCTGGGTGGTACTGGACCCAGTGGAGTTCTGGCTGGTTTTCTGACTCTGCATTGTCACTGGATTAACCAGCAAAAGAAATAAATAAACCAGAAATAAAAGTCTGAATTCTGTAATAATTTATATAAAATCCTGAATAATAAACTATCTAACATGATCAATGATGAATAATGTGAAATAATCAATAATAAACCATAAAAATAATAATGAATTTACTCTAATAATAAATAAACAATCAAATTACCTATAATAATCATGCAAATACAAAGAAATATCCACAGTAATTCATGAATTGTACAAAAAGTAATAAATAATATACAATAATAATAAACAAACTATATAAAATACTAAACAATAAGATGAAATAATAATAAACAAAATATAGAAAATAATAATAATAATACAAGATAATCTGGAAAAAATGAAATAATAATAATAAACAATATAAAATAGTTTATATTACAAAACGTTAATAAGTAATATTATTTAAACATGAATAATCAATATAAATAAATATATAAAAGACAGTTATCAATAAATGTATGTGAATACTATAAATAATGATGATAATAATAACACAATTATCATTAATAAAGCATACATAAATGATAACAACACACATTATAAACAATACACAATAATAATATAAACCAAACAATTAACAATATGCAATAAAATTTGTTTGTTGAGAATAATTATTAACATAAAAACTAAAATCGTACGAAGTGTCAATAAAAGAGTATTCTGAAACTAATCTGACAACCACTTTTTTTTTTTTAGTTAAAATGCCTAAATGTGTCTTTCCTCGGTGTGATTATTTTCCGGTTTATTTTACGCAGTGTGCTGATAATTTTAATAATTTTAATAGTTTTAATGTTTATTTTCTGACGCTTCTGTTTAGGTTTCGACTTTTATTTTGAAGCAGCGTGTGAGGCTTTTATTGTGCAGCGTGCGGACGGATGTTTTGGTGTTTCATAAGCTTCAGTCTGAAACGTTTCTGAATCCGAATCAAACAGGTGAGAAAACCACAACCTGCAGCCCACACACGCTGCTGCCACCAGACTCCATTTAAAAATCTCTTAAAACTTTCACTTCTTTATTTCTTGTTGTCAGCGGACGTTAACATAAATAAGTAAAGTGAAGCCTGACAGACTGTTAGAGTTCAAATCTGTATTTAAACGTTAAACGGAGTCTGTTCAGGAGCTGATCAGCTGTTCGGCTTTAATCTTAGGAAGGCAGCTGCTTTCTTTAAATGTGGTTTAGTGAATTTAGTGCTGGTGTGTTTCCTTTTCTTACAGCTAAAACTGAACGTTTAACGAGTCAAATCAGACCAACCGGGGAGTTTCTATGAATAAAACTGAAGCCGAATTCTCCACAAGATTCACTTATTACACAGAACAATTTTTCTATTCTTTTACAACATACAAAAATACAGCATGCAAAGGAAGCGCTTAAAGCGCACGAATTCTGAATGGAGTTAGGCGTGGCCCAACTGGGGCGTTTCTGCGCAGCTCCGCTGAGAATAAACCGCGAGTCGAGCTCGAGGTTTAGTTTCTAGTAGGTGTCAGAGGTGTGAATGTGCTGAGAGGCCCTGAGTTGACCCGCCAGGTGAGTGTGAGGAGCGTCAGATGGGTCTTACCTGTCCGTGGCCTCCGTCTGACTGAGAGCAGAAGTGAAACTGACTCTATTCAGAGCGCCGCTGACTCATAATCCCGTGACTGACTCAGGACAAGTCCCGAACATGTCTGCGCTCAGCGGGCCGCCAGCAGCGCGGAGCTTCATTCATTCATTCCTGTGTCATCGATATTATGTCAATACACTGGATATTTATAGAATTGATCCATTACAACATACAAACAATATTAATCCTGTAAATCGGCTAAAATAACCCGGATATATAACTGCGCCTGCGTGTTCCTCTCACAGTGTCAGGATGGCCGAGCGGTCTAAGGCGCTGCGTTCAGGTCGCAGTCTCCCCTGGAGGCGTGGGTTCGAATCCCACTTCTGACATCAACCTTTTTATGAACTGTTTTCATCCGAAAGCTTGTTTTCAGTCGTTTTCATTTTTCTACTTTAGTCCTTTTGCCTCCAACACATTAAAGTTACATGTGCACATTGGAACTCCACCACCAGGCGGCGCTACAACATTTTTTCATTGTGAAAATACCTGAAAAAAAACATGTAGACCACATAAGACCAGGTCCACATCAAAAACTACTGCATAGAGTGATAGAAGTCTTTAAATCACAGTTTCTAGTTCTGTGAAAGCTTTTTTCTCTTTCGGCAAAAGCATGAAAACAAAGAGATTTCACTGCATTGTCCACATCTGGACCACGTTAGACCAGATGCACATCTGTATCCAGACTGGTTCATCTGGACTACATTAGGTCAGAGACTGAAGAGTCTTTAAAGCACAGTTTATGGGTTTGTAAGCTTTATTCTGTTTGTGAAATGTGCAGTGCACTGCTTTTTGCATGTAAACTTCTATATCTAATGGATTAGATCGTCCCTTAGAGGCTTAATAGGCTTTATGACAGTTTCTGGGTCTGTGAGATTCAGTCTCGTTGTGAAAATACAAAAACAAAAAAAAGGGGTTTAAATGTGGGAAACAGAGAACAGGTCCCTGCAAGTTCAGTTTCCATTAACTCTCCCTTAAATGCCGAATCAGGAACCGACTTCACTGTTGTATGTTTAAAACATGTGGATAAATCAGTCAGTAAATGTATAAATAAATGAAGGAATGAACAAAGAAATAACAGTAACGTTTGTTTACGTCATAGTTTGAGGAAGGTAGAAATAAATGCAAGCGTACACGTCACTGTCAAATAAATGGAAGTGAACATTAAAGGCTGTTATCAGGGGACATGTTCGGTCAAATTAGTTTGAATTCAGTCATTGTTGGAGAGAAAAACTCAAAGCTCCAAATATCTGCCTCAGGTGTCTGCAGGTCTCTCAGGTCTGTCTAGTCTCTCAGGTGCCTCTTGTCTCTACAGGTGATGCGGGTCTCTCAGGTGTCTGCAGGTCTCTTCCTGTCCGACCTGGACTCGGCTCTGAAGCTCAGCGTGCTGAGCAGCAGAAACGTGTCTCTGGTCGTTAACGCCAGCGGTCTGGAGGACTCGGTCTCATATCCGGAGCTGGAAGGTCTCCAGGTCCTTCATGTCCCCGTCCAGGACCAGCCTCACGCCCCCCTCAGCCAGTACTTCGACCTGGTGGCCGAAGGGATCCACCAGAACCGGACTGGGTCGACTCTGGTCCACTGCACTGCCGGCAGGAGTCGGTCTCCAGCTCTGGTCCTGGCCTACCTGATGAGGTGACGCCTGGTTCTGGTCTCAGACTGTTGGTGGTCGCTTGAATCTCTCTGTCTTCATTGGTGGTTGTTTTGTGTCTTTAGGTTCATTTTTAGTCTCTTTGTTGTCATTTGTGGCTATTTGGGGTTTGATTGCATTTGTTTTGTTTCTATCTGTGTCTTTTTTGTTGTTTTCTGTCTCTTTGTTGTCATTTTATTTCTCTTTGTATTAATTTGTTCATTTTGTGACGCTTTATTCTGTTTTCTGGTAGTTTTGTGTCTCCTCATAATACCTTGTGGTCATTTTGTGCGTCTCTGACGTGGTCCCGCTGTGTGTCTGCAGGTTTGAGGGCCTCAACCTGCGTCGGGCTCATGAGCTGGTTCTGGAGCAGCGACCGTTCATCCGACCCAACGCCGGCTTCTGGAGGCAGCTGATGGACTACGAGAGGAGTCTGTTCGGCTGCAGCTCGGTGAGGATGTCGAGGACGTCTGGAGGAGTTCTACCCGAAGCTCTGCAGGAATCGGACGACGCCGCTGCTGCGTACTGCCTCAACATCTGACACACATCTGACTCACATCTGGCTCAAGGTCGGACCAGACGTAAAGAAGGACAGTATGAGGCTTTACCTGGACAGTGATCACGGTACTGAACAGCGAGCAGCAACGTCTTCGTGGTTTTACTCAGCTTGACTCCATCGTTGTGTCTAACGTTTTATTTATAATTAAAAAAACATTTATTTATTTAGGAACAAAAACTGAAGCTTCTTTGGATCACAGATCAAAACTATTAAAGGTTTTCGACTGTTGAACAGCTCTGGTTTGTAAATGATGCTGATGAATGTGAGTCACTGATGGAGCAGAATGATCCTTTAAAAACTGGAAACTGAAGAGTTTTGGGAGCAAAACAGGAAAAAAAAACAGGAGACGTGGAGTTAAAAAAAAAAGACAAACTAGACTTTATTGTGACAGTAAAAGGAATGAAAAGCTGCTGGAAACCATCAGTCCGACGTGAACAGAGACTAACGAGGTGTAAACCGGCCTCAGTACTGGAAGCTCCTCTTGGTCTGGATGTCGTCCAGAATCTGCTGCAGCTCCTCGTCTTCGAACCGACCCTCCAGACTGAAAACAAGAGAAACACAACACACAATTTAAACTGTTACTTTATTCACTCGAATAAAGTACACCCAAATTATTCACCCAAATAAAGTCTGTGTTTGTTTGCAGCCCGGCACTGACCTCGGGATCAGAGCTTTGGCCTCTTCAGCAGCTTCAGGACAAAGATTTGCCAAACTGGCCAACTCGAACTTATGGAGCTTCTTCTGCAGGAGGAGACTGAAGGCAGAGAGATGGAGGTCAGAGGATGAACCCTGGTCTGGAGTCACGTCTCTGGTCATTCTGTGTGTCTCTGTGGTTGTTTGTGAGCATTCTTTGTCTCTTTGCGGTCACTTCTGGTTAATTTAATTCTTTTTGGGGTTGTTTGTGGTATATTTTTGGTTCTTTGTAGTCTTTGTAGTTTCTTTTGGGTAATTTGAGGTAATTTCGTAGTATATTCTGTTCATCTTTAGCTGTAGAGCGCGTTGAGGTGGCGCTGAACTTTTCCAACAGTCTGAACTGTCCTACCTCGTGGTGTCGGAGGCCAACGTACCTGCGCACGGCTGTGATGGTCTCGCGGTTCTTGAAGCGACTGAACCGGGCCGTGTAGTTGAGCGTCTTCATGAAGACCTCGGACAGCTCCTGCTCGTCCTCGGCGCTCTCGTTCTGCTGCTTCCTGTGTTCCAGCAACATGTGGACCTCCGAGTTCAGCAGCGTCTCGGCGTTCTCGAACTCTGTGGAGGCAGCGGGAGGCGTCAGCATCCAACGACTGAGTGTTGCTCTGCTAACTTCTGTTCTACTGGTATAACCCATTAATAGGTGATTTCACTGCTTTATTCTTGTGTTTATACCACATGAGACCAGATCCAGAACCTCCACAGACCTGGACTACTTTACCAGAGAGGTTCAAAACACAAGTGCAGGATTTTAGGAGATTTATTCAATTAATGGGAACAAACTTCAGAGCAGGTTCTGGTCCAAAACTACTACGGTTAGATCAGAACGTCTAGACCTCGGTATAGATAGAGTACAACTAGAATTAGTGGATTTAGTGGAAGTGTGATTAGGAAACACAATAAAAGTGTATTTTAACTGCAGAATGACACGCACACAAAAAAAACACAAACAATCACAAAGAGGCACATCAAGCCACACAAAAGTCCACAAAAGTACACAATGTGACGGAACAACACAAGGCCACCACAAAAAGACAAAATGTGACCGCAAAGAGAAACAAAACAGTGACACAAACACAGCACAGCCACAAATACACACAGAGTGATCACAAAAAGCACAGATGCAAACAATAGCAACACACAGAGAGACACAAAACAACCACAAACACTAAACAACCACAAACACAAGTGATCACATAAAGACACACAAAAAAACACGGATGAAAACAAAAACAAAATCACAAAGAGGCTCAAACACAAACAAAAAGTAGAATAAAGGTTTCAACAACCAGACTGGGAGCCTTCAGCTGTAACCTGTCAGACTGGGATGTGATCTACATGCAAACAACTTTGGATTTTCACTTATTTACATGTTCACAAGAATTGAAAATATGAAGGAGACTTTCAGACCGCATTAATGGTTTAATAATTAGTTGTATCAAGGTTTGGCATCAGTAAAATCTGTCGCTCAGTGTTGTGAACTGAGCTGAACTTTTCCCTAAATCAGCTGATCTGAGGCTGAATTAGTCGTTTTTTGTCGGTTCATGTCGGTGCACCTGAATGAACGTGTATCGGTGATGAAACACAAGCAGACCTTTAGGAAACAGCAGCTGAGAAGCGTCTTCTTCAACATCACCGACATGCGGAGTCGCCGCGCCGCCTCCAGCCGCCATGACGGCCAGCTAACCCGGCTACCGGCAACCAGACGCACCGGGGACCGGAGGACACGCCGGTGGCTCACACACAGACTCCCGGTGAGTCCCTACAGCCGGTGGACGAACTCTGCGGGTCGACGAGGAGTTACCGGTGTCAATAATAGCGGATAACGGAGCCTAATTGGGCGCCTTTCAGACACAAAAACACAAACAGTCGCTTCCGGGTGTTAAACTACCACTTCCGGTTTACTTCTTCTTCTGCTGCTTTATTCCGGCTGCGTTCTTCTTCTTCTTCTTTTGTTCCTAATTATACATGCTAAACAACCCTGTAAGGATGAATACATTTCGATTGATTTACACTTTAGTTTGTGCGAAGTTTTGATTCATTATTATTATTTATTTTTTGTTCTCCTTTTGTTTTGTTTGTATTTTTGCTTGGACCTTGTGTTGTTTATATACGCAGAGGCAGTGTAGTGTAGGTTGGTGTGATTATAGTTTTATTATGAAACACGATGTAAAATGTTAAAGCAGATTTCAGTGAAGATGGGACAAAAAGAAGCTGCGTTGGCCGGGAATCGAACCCGGGTCAACTGCTTGGAAGGCAGCTATGCTAACCACTATACCACCAACGCCATGAGGAGTAAAGTCAGTGCTGCTGAAGTGGACACTCACACGAGAAGGAAAATGAAAAACTTATTTTCATGTCACAGTGAAAGCAGATTTCTACACACTGATATCACATAACTAAAATATGAAATGTAAAACAAATGCTTCCAAAAGCATTCACCCCTTTAGAGTGACTATAATTCAATACGGACATAGAATTAAAAGGTGAATAAAAACTTGAATTTAGGGATGAATACAAGGAAATGTCCAGGTTACACACAGGACACCGTTTCTGTACCTTATGACTGACCGAGTCAAGCTGATTTTGTGCAAATGTCGTGCATTCATGGTTAAAATGGCTTAATCAGCACACTGAGGTACATCCAATGTCCCTTAGCTGTTTTAACTATTAACTGAGTGTTGATTGATAATGTGGCTGACTGTTGGTGAAGAGAGAATTTGTATCTCTAATGATAATCTAGCTGTCAAAAACTCACACATGACCACATGGAAGTTGTGGAGACAAAAAGCAGCTTTGATTAAACTACAGATGGATGTAGAATCCAGGGATAAAGTTCACCAAACATTAATCCAGTTTGAAAGAACATTAACACAAGTTTATGGAATAACATTTAAGAAATAACCAGATTTATTAATTCAGCTATGAGCGTGCTGCAGACTCCACAGGAAGAAGAAAAGCTTGTTCATCACACCTCCGACTTTCGTAGTATATTGTTTGTTGTTATTTTTCAGTAGAATATTTCTATTGAACAGATATTGTAGGAGTGGTAAAATGATCAACAATAACAAATGAAGAGTTAATTTGCAAAAACAGATAACTCCATCTTCACAAACTTTCAGAAAACCCACTTTTCCATCGTCTACCTGAGACAATATCAGTCAAACTTAAGTTATCTCTATTTCTGTCATTTCTACTGAGTCAGATTCACTCAACTTCAGTTTGATTGATGATATCGCAAGCAGACAACAACAACAAAAAGTTTTCTGAAAATCTATAAAACAGGAGTAATCTGTTTTTGCGAATGAACTCTTCAAATTCAGAGCTCCACAACATGCAATTCACTGCATTTACTGCCTTATTGATGATCAGGACTTTTCACCCCCTAATTCTTCATTATCTTTTAACAGACCTGTTCTGTTTAAATTTGTTTGTATTTATTCTTCTTTTTCCAGAAAGCTTCCGTGTTGTTGTGAATACCTTCAGTTTATGTTATTGTATAGTTTTGTTTAATCGTTTTGAAATAGATGACGTGTATATGCACTCTTTGGCCATCAGTATATATGTTATATTGATTTAAAAAAAAAAAAAAAAAAAAAGTGAGCTTTTACAAGATTGAATTTCCCTTCTGGGATAAATAAAGTATTTTTTCATTCATCAGGCGACAGAAGCACTGATTTACGCAGTGACGTCATTATGTTTTGTCTACGTGATGACGTAGAGTACGTAGGGACTGCCCGTGTAATTGAACGTATCGCGATATTTCAGCCTGCGGTTTCAGACCTCGGGGCGGCTAGCAGCAGTTAAACTTGACTTTTCGGGCTTCTCTCCGTCTATTTGTTCTCTGAGCGGCTCCTCCTGGTTCCGTTCAACCCGGAGAAGAAGCGCCCAGCTCGGTTCTGCGTCTGTCCTCCTCCAGCCGTCCAGCGCCGCTTCACGGAGAAGTTCAACCAGCAGCTCGGCAGCAGAAATAGGTCACAGCCGCTTGTTGACGGCGCACTTCGGTTGGTTTCCTCCCGCCGGTTCCTCCAGCGGCTCCGCAGACTTTAACCATGGTTCTCCTGAAAAACCTCCACCCGCCCACCGAGGGAGTCCGGCACGAGCAGGCCGAGACCACGGCGGTGATGGACGGACAGAGGCTCGGCTGCGGCACGTTGTACGTGGCCGAAACGTAAGTGATGCACATGGCGGCTGTTGTTGTGTTTGGATGCAGGTGTAGAGACGAACATCAGTCACGTGTCTGCTGGATTTTACCTGTTCTGTCCTGAATCAGAACCAGTCCAGTGTTTGTACCTGTTCTGTCCTGAATCAGAACCAGTCCAGTGTTTAAATAGTGAGAGCAGCTTCTATATTGTCACTAAAATGTTCAGTTTAATCTGTGATCTCAGGTTCAGGTTGAAGCTAAGGTCGGTTTTTATCAGAATTTAAGTTAAAATTCTGGACACAAGATTCATAACTGAGAGAGCTGCACAATTTTTAGAACTGCAGCTATTTTCATAATTAATTAATCATTTTAATACCACAATCTGATTACTTTTAGATTGTTTCCACATCACACGTGAACATTTTATATTTGTGTTATTATTTTAGTTTCTGTTTTTGACCATTAGTTGAATATTTTGGGGTTTTATGCTTTTAACTGGACTAAACAAGGCGTCTGACACTTCAGGGTCTTTTTTTTGTGTGTGGACATTTTACAAACAAATTCAGGATCAGTTAACAACAAGTATAAAAAGTGATTCCTGGTTCTGTCTCTGACCCGCAAACTGATCAATAATAATCACTGAACGCTCATGTAAAAAGCCTCAACATAGATTTACAATCTAGGTCTTCAGCTGTCGTCACGTTCTGGTTCTGTTTCTCCTTCTCAGGCGCCTGTCGTGGTTTGACGGGTCAGGTTTGGGTTTCTGTCTGGAGTATCCCACCATCGGCCTCCACGCCATCTCCAGAGACGTCAGCGCCTACCCTCAGGAGCATCTGTACGTCATGGTCAACGGCAAGCTCAGCGGTGAGGAGACGACTTTAGATCCGATAGAAATCATCAGTCGGCCAGTTTTTACCCGACTGGTTCTGGAGATTAGAAAAGTCGACTCAGTGTCTCTGTTAATTAAATAAGAAGACGTTTGTTTGCTACTGATTTATGTCAACATACGTTCCTTTTTTCCTTTTGTGTTATAAATACTTTTTTTTTCCCAGATAATTATTTTATAAAACATCCGTCGACTCTCTTCCAGCAGCTTTTATTTCTCACGTTTAAGTGTCGCGCTGGTTGAACGTCCGTTTTCACGTTTGTTCCTCGCAGATGAGAACGAAGCAGAAATGGCAGAAAAAGCAGCGGATGATGACGACGGAGACGACGACGGCAGCGACGGCAGCGACGGCGATGACGACGGTGATGAAGGAACCATCACAGAGATCCGGTTTGTTCCCAGCGACAAGGCGTCATGTGAGTGGACACAACGTTTTAGAGGAGAGTTTGTGCATATGTGGGGGTTTGAATGAGTGAAATCATTGACTGAGAACGATGTAAAGTACGACCATGGCGCTGGTTTTCTGTGTTTCAGTGGAGTCCATGTTCTCGGCCATGTGCGAGTGTCAGGCTCTGCATCCGGACCCCGAAGACGACGACTCCGACAACGACTTCGAGGGAGAAGAATACGACGTGGAGGAAGCCGGTGAGCAGCAGCACGAACACGCAGATTCAAAACACACACTGTAGAATACAAACTCTCTCACTCATGTTCTCCTTCTGTCTCCGTCCTCCTCGTCCTCGGCTGGTCGTCTGGACCGTCTGGCTGCAGAGGCAGGTACGACATCCGTCAGCTCACACTCACAACATCAACACCTTCTGACTTCGTTAGTCCAGAACAGATTCTACCTGTTGATCATCAGACATCATGTATAGGCGTCAGTCGGACAGAATTCAGGAAGCATGTTGCTCAGATTGTTGTTTCAAACCCAAAACTAACTTCTGTCAAGTATTTTGTCTGAATTTTCAGACCTGGGAGTTTTTGTATTTTTACCACATCTTAACTGTGAAGCCATTTTAAAGATTATATTTTCAATTATTGAACCTTAAAAATCAGAAAAGAGTGCAGGATTTTCAAACAGAGGTGGTGTTATGGGCCCAGAAAGCTCCTGTAAGTGTAAATATCTATGGATGGATCCACGTTTCTCCAACTGTTGAGGCTCTACCATCAGTAGAACCTGATGTGTGGTAATAATGGCAGGAATTAAAGGTTCAGTTTATTGGTATTCTGGTGTGAAACCTTTTCAAGATGACAAAGATAAATGATTATTGACCCTTAAAAGTGTAAAAAAACAAAAATGGCATTTTTAATTTAACAACACGTGAGGCTTTTTTTACTGAATGTTCACGAACAGATACAGGAAATAAAAACAAACTGATGGTAATTCAACACACATCACAATAAATCTCATGTTTGCTGATGTTGGAGCCTCAGAAGTTGGTGAAAAGTTCACCTAAGACTCCATAAATATAAATATAAATATATATATACACTGAGAGGAGCTTTCTGGGGGCATAATCCCAAACTGTTTTAAAAAATTCTGCCCTTTCTTCCATTTTCAAAGACCAGGAATTAAACATTTGTCCTGAGCTGAATTTTGAATCTGCTGAAAATGTTTCTGTCCGTCGTCACCTCGTTTCAAGGCCGTGTGAGTTCTGGAGACATTAAACTGTTAAAATGGCTTCACAGGTAAGATGCTGCCTGAAGGTGACATTACAAAACTTCTTGAGTCTAAAAGCAAATGAAAATCTCATAATTCAACCAGAAATATTCCCCAGAACTTAGTTTTGGGAACAAAGTCTGAGCAGCAGATTGTGTCTGAATTGACTCCATCATGTGATGTTTGATGCTCTTTGTGCTGTTACAGTAAACACACCTGACAAACCTACAGTATCTAAAGAGTCCTTTCTGTGTGTGGATCTGTTTTAAAGTTTCTCATAAACACTTATTAAATGTTAAAACAGTGCTTTTAAACGCGACATTAACTCTAAACCTCCTCCGTCAGAGCACGGCCACGCCGACATCCCGACCTTCTACACCTGTGACGAGGGCCTGTCGGCGCTGACCCAGGAGGGCCAGGCCACGCTGGAGAGGCTGGAGGGGATGCTGGCCGAGTCTGTGGCCCAGCAGTACCACATGGCCGGGGTCCGGACCGAGGAGACCAAGGCCGAGTTCGAAGGTTTGAATCACACAGATCAATAAATAATGACGTACAGAATGGAGCAGACGGCAGGAATAGAGCCACTACGATCAGCTGCAGGACCATTAAAACCACAATCAGCTGGTTTTTAAAAAATCTGCAGTAACTTTAGTTTATTTAATGAAGTCATGCAGAGTTTGACTTTCATACTGTGAATAGTTTCAGAGTTCCAGGCCCTCACAGTACAAAAACACAGGTCAGAATTTGTCTTTTTTTAGTTTTTGCTGCTTTTTCCATCATTGTTGATCCTCATAAGATCAGGAGACGCATTAAACCTTCAGGTTCAGGTCTCCCAGAAATGACCTCCACGTGTTATTAAAGAAGATTCCAGTTATGTTGAGGTGAAAACAGAGTCAGAACATTTATAAAGAGCAGCAGCAGCATCAGGAGGAGGAGGTCGGGGTGGATGGACGGCGCTCAGAGCAAACAGCCTTCAGAACTTCTTCAGTCCAGCAGATAGAGTTTGACATGCGTCCAGGTGTCACACTCTAACGAATAAATCTGGACTTTGTTTTTCTATAACCAGCTTGATTTTCAGTTGAAGCGTGTTTGTTGTAGAAGATGAACCAAAGATATTTAACGGTGTGTGTTGTGGTGGACAGATGGGATGGAGGTGGATGCAGCAGCGATGGAGGCCGGACAGTTTGAGGACGCCGACGTGGAACACTGGTGAGTCCGACCGGTTGTTCAGCGTCTGGATAGTTTCACCAGGACCGGTTCAGACGTCCACTGACGAGCTTTTTGCACGTTTATTTATAAAATGTGTTTGTGTCTGTGCTTTACTTTTTTCTTTTTTACATTTTACTTTTTAGTTTGTAAAAGCATTTACATTTGATCATCTTTGCTTCTCCTGAGGTTTCTTTTCTTAACATTTGCTAAATAATTCCAACTAAACACGGGAAGCTTTCGCCGCAGCTATTTAATAAATGATAACACTACTACTGAATAAATGAATAAGTTAAACTAATATGCAGTGAGCTGTTTGCTGCTCATTCAGTTACTCTATCACATCAGCTGAAGTCTGAACTAACAGGTTTCATGTTTTCTGTCCAAATTTGGACCAAAACAAACAGTTCAGACTTTGACACGTTTTCTTATTTAGCAACAAAATAAACTAAAAACAACGATAAAACACTGAAAGCCTGAGTGTCCGGGTTCATTCGTCTGTTTTCTTCCTGCAGATGGAAGCGATCGGAGCTCCAGTGTGGCATCGTGGGACTGAAGAGAAGAACAGCAGCACTTCTTTACTCGCCTCCTCTTTCTGTTTTCCTGTCAGACCGTTTCCCGTTAGGAAGTCCTGAGCGCCTCCTGAGCGCCTCCTGCTCCCGTGTGTCGCCTTGCAGCTGCTGTGTCACGTCGTGTCGTCGCTGAATGTTCTGTGACGCAGCTCAGATCTTCCTGTTAACTCCAATAACAACGTTCCTGCTTCTGTTTTGTACCTAAAGACCAATTTAATATCGGACTTTTCTGCAGAGAGTCGACGTCTTTGTATGAAATTGTCAATAAATGCATAGTTTTTGTATCAGTTCTTCTGTTTGCGTTTGATTTATTCAGATTCGGTGGCGTCCTGCGCTCACAGCTCTGTAAAAAACAACTAAGTCATGTTGACAATATGAGTAAAATCAGGATGTTTTTAATGGATTTAGAAGTAATTTTATGGTCACAAATTGTGAAAGAACAAATTGCTGATGAAAATCCAGATTTTTAATGTGGGCATTAGTTTTTTTTTTACAATCAATTTGTATATTCTGTTTTTTGTGTAATTTAATATATTTCAAAACAAAAACTTTAACGTTTTGAATAATATTTACCACTTTAAATGCCTAATATGCAGCTTTTTTCCCCAGATAACTGCAAATAACTAAATAAAATCACGCTTTTAGCTCATTTAATAATCATAGAAAGTGTAATTTTACGGTCACACATTGTAAAAAAACTAAAAATTACTATTTTTAATAATACATATTTTTAACGTGGACATTTTTTTTTACAGGTTTGTTCCATTTTTAACGGTTAAAATGTAAATTTATACTTTAATCTGTGATTTTATTGACTACTATCTGTCAGGAGCTCGTACATTGATTATTATTGAATTTTAAAAAAAGGATAAAACTAAGAGTCATTATATTTAATATCCAGAAGGTCAAAGGTCAGCTTCATTATGTTCTCATTCTCCTTTTGAAACACATTCTTCTGAACTCCTTCCTCTAGTTCTTCATTAAATCGATCGTTTCATTTGTTGCTGTTGGTTTTATAGGTAGCCAACACTAATCTTTTTTTATTAATGCATCTGTTGGTTGTTTCACAATTAATCCATTCAAAGTTTATTATATAAAACTGGAGAAAAGTTACTGATGTCCTGAAATAACTTTTTTGTGTGTGAACAGTTTGAAGCCCAAAGATGCAGCATGAAGGTAAAAAAATCATTTATCAAGATTATTTTTTCATCTAATCGTGTTTTTTTTCTACTAAACTATGACTTAAATGCACCGACTAACCAATGAATCAGTTCCAACAACACTGTGATCGTACAGTTTAATCTGTTTTTAGTCTTTACAGAATAATTCAAAGGCACCAAATAAATCCGTGCAGACGTGTTCGCTTCATTCCTGCTCTGTGCTTGGCTCTGGAATGTCACATTAATTATAAACAGGAATAAAATACACAGTTTGTAGCTCTGTTTAAAAAGTACTGTACAGTGTGATATCATCAAACAGTTTCCAGTTTCCAGTCGACTGATTAGTGTTAAGACTTGATTCTACCTAAAAACACCACCTGGCTCAGAGTTTGTTGTGCAGCTACAACGTTCCTGTTATCAGACAACAGGCTGACGTCAGCGTCCATCCAGTCTGACGATAAACATCCTACAAATCATGCAAACGTTCTTTTAGTAACTAATTAAAAAATAACAAAAAAATAACCTCAAAGATTCCTAACTAGACAAGATGTCTTAGACTCCAGTATTGTGTTGTTTTTTGTGTTCAATCAGCCTCCTCAGAAAATTAATTGGTTTAGTTTCTTAGATGTGCTTCTAATGTGAGGTCAACCCGGAAGACCGCGATCGAATGTCAAAATAAAAGTCTCTCCATACAAAGTGCTCTTCAGTGTTCTTCTGTTTCCTCGGCAGACGGTGAGCAGTCCGTCAGGAACTCTGTGCTCCGGTTAAAGTGTTCAGGCCGACTTCTTGGCGTCCGTCGGGAGATCCAGAGAGGAAGATTTCCTCGACAGCGAAGGGACGAGTTTATCGAACAGCAGCACTGAGCTCATCATACCTGAACCAGCAAGAAGGTAGAGGAGATGGAGAAAAGGAACAAGTGAACAAACACTGAAAATGACTGTATACATGTGTAGTATTTCAGTAATCTATACTAGACTGCATCAGGTTGTCCTCCAGGATTTCTCTACACTTTGCTGCATTCATTCACCCTCTTTAACCTTCACAAGCCTTCCAGGCTGCTGCTGAGAAGATCCCCACATCATGATGCTGCCACCACCGTGCTTCATCATGATGCTGCCACCACCGTGCTTCATCATG